ATATAAATGTTATTAAATTCAAATTCAAATGCAATCATCTACCTCCAGTCTACAACACCGTCCTTTCAGCAGTTCCAAGAAGGCTCCACCCCCATTTGCCCCACTCGGGTGACCCTGAAGACACAGAGGAACCTCCAGGTGGCCTCAATGACCCTCTAGAAGGATGCAAATGACCAGCTTTGTCTCCAAGCAGTATAAATCCTTCAATTCCACCACCAATCCAGTCAGAGCTGAAGAAGCTTCTCGGATGAGGAGCGAAACGTCTTCAAAGAGAAAACAGAAAGCCGAGTTGCCGCTTGAAAAAAAAAAGCATCTTTGGGACAACCTAGATGGCTGAGTATCTCCATAGTCACCCACCTGTTTTTCCCTCTGCCCCCACCCCACGATAGGAAGCAGCTGGGCCCCAAATTCCACTGGGACACCCCACTCCCTTGGGTCAGTGGACTGCTACTATCTCCAAGCCCGTTTGACCACGTAACACGTGTTGAGTCCGGATGGAGGAAAATGGGGACACCGGTTATGGAGAGACCAGGCAATAGTAATTGGATCCACCACCACCACCCCACACACACACACAGACACACTGGCCCAACTCACATTTCTCACAAAAATCTGGCAAGCCTTCCTGGCGATTCCACCGGCGGCAGCAACAGGCCCTCCGGTTCCCAGGGCGCTGGTGAAGTTTCCGGCCGCAAAGTTCCCGCGCTCCATCTCCATGGTTCTCTCGAAGGTGCTCCCCATGGGCAGTCCTATCCTGTCTAGGCCCGCCCCCATGCCCTGGCTCAAGGCCGGCCCCATGCGGTCCATGCTGGTCGCGGCCGCGCCCATCCGGTCCAGCCCCATGCGGTCCATGGGGGCCGCCAAGCGGTCCAGCCCCATGCGGTCCATGGGGGCCGCCCCGAGGCGGTCCAGCCCCGCCGGCATCCTATCCATCACGGGGCCCATCCCCGCCGGGACCATGCGGTCCAGGCCCAGCCCCATCCGGTCTACCCCGCTGCCCATCCTGTCCATGGCGCTGCCCACGCGGTCGAGGGTGGAGCCCATGCGGTCCAGGCCGAAGCCCAGGCCGGCCCCCATCCGATCCATCCCGGGGCCCATGCGGTCGATGCTGGAGGCCAGGTGGTCTAAGCCCAAGGGAGCCATGCGGTCGATGCCCGATCCCATCCTATCTACTCCGGAGCCCATGCGGTCCAGCACCAGCCCCATGCGGTCCATCTCGGAGCGCTCGATCCCGTGGCCTAGGCCGGAGGGGAGCCTGTCAATGCTGCTGGCCATGCGGTCCAGTCCCGGAGCCATCCGGTCAATGGCTGGAATTGTGGCGCCACCGCCGCCTCCCCCTGGAGGAAAAAGAGAAGAAGGGGGTTCTCAGTCCTGGCAGGAAAAAGCCCCCCTCCCCCCTATAATCCCCAGGATGCCCACCCCCACTCCTCGTAGTCTAGCTCTTTTTGGCCCCCTTTGGTCTGAGGAGGTCTCCCAGCCCTGGAAGAAATCCAGCTGGGGAGGCCCCCACTGGCAAAGCGAAGCCTCCCTCTCGGCCCGAGTGAGCAGGGCCCTCCTGCTCCATTTCACAGGAAGTCCCCGACTTACGACCACAGTGCAACCCAAAAAACGTTGCTTAGTGAGACATTTGTGAGTTTTGTCCCATTTTACGAGCTTTCTCCCCTGCCAAATCGCCACAGNCCCCCCCCCCATTTTCCACTCCAGCCTGACCAAGTTTCAATTCAAATCAGGGAGAACAAAACAACTTTCCTTTCACCTGGGGATCAAACCACTTGCGGCCCAAGTACAGAGAGGGGCTGCCCCCAGCCACTTCTTCTGTCCAGGGATCAGCCTGCTCCTCAGTGGTGGGATACGACCGGTACACCCCGATACAGGCGTACCGGTGCCTGCCGGGAGCACCAGGTACCGTTCTGATACAGTGCTCCAGAGGGCCCACCTGCCCTCCTTACCTCTAGCAATTCCCCTCTTAGTAGCTCACAAATGGCCCTAAAACTCTTTGGTCTCAAGTCTAGGCCAGCGACTCACCGCATTCGTTGAACTTGTCCTTCAGCATTTTCCATGTGAAGTCAAAAGGAAGCTGGGGAGAACAAAGGGAAGAGGCACCACAAAGTCATCCATCTGTGTCTCAAAGGGGCTTGTTTTTCAAGAGGCAACTGGACTTTCTGGTTTTTCTCTGAAGACGTTTCGCTCCTCATCCAAGAAGCTTCTTCAGCCCTGACTGGATGGTAGGGAAGGGAAAGATTTATACTCCTTGGAGACAAAGCTGGTCATTTGCATCCTTCTAGAGGGTCATTGAGACCACCTGGTGGTTTATCTGTGTCCTCAAGGTCACCTGAGTGGGGCAAATGGGGGTAGAGCCTTCTTGGAACTGTTGAAAGGACGGTGTTGTAGACCGGAGATGATGTCATATCCCTCCCCCCCTCTGTTAAGAGAAGGCTATTCAATTTGGACCCAGATGGCCTCTTTGACTCCTGTTTCAAGTTAGCAGTCCTCTCTGTCCAGAAGGTGGACTTTGCTATCTTCAAAAGAATGGCCTGTGTTTTTAAATGCAGATGGACTGCTGAATCTAGTCCAGATGGGTTCTCCTAGGTTGTGCCATGAGTTTGTGAAGTGGCTGTTTTGTTTCCCCAATGGACANGTTTGTGCCTGAGTGTTTTGTCCTTGGGGTAGACATCATCTGTCTCCAGTTGACAACACAGTCCTTTCAGCAGTTCCAAGAAGGCTCCACCCCCATTTGCCCCACTCGGGTGACCCTGAAGACACAGAGGAACCTCCAGGTGGCCTCAATGACCCTCTAGAAGGATGCAAATGACCAGCTTTGTCTGCAACCACCCTGACCCTGGGTGAGGCGTCTTCTCTCTGAGGACCAAGGCAGGGGAGGAAGGGAGGGAGGGAGGGAGGGGGAGGGCAATCAAAACTTACATGGCTGTTCAGCAGGGTGCTTTTGTGCGACGTAATGCCTTCGTTTTTTTGGAGGTTCTCAATGGCCATTTCGAGCTACCCGAAGGAAGCCGGAGAGAGAGAGAAAGAGGGGGAAAAAGGGAAGAAAAAGGCAAATCAGACACGGGGCGTCGGCTGAGCTTCCGCCAAGGCCATGCCCTCCGGGTCTCCCCCCGCCCCCCGCCCCAAACGGGCCAAAGCAAAACTTCGGAAGGCAGGAGAGAGTTAGTGCGGCAGAGACACGAAGTGGACCGCATAGGATGGCATGCGGAGGAAGCCACACGGCACAGCAGCGAGTGCAAAGGGCAGGGGAATGCGGGGCAGAGGAAGGGCGGACATCTGCCACGTTTCTAGCCCTCAGTGATTTCCAAAGAGTTGACATTTCCCACCAGTCAAGCTCGACTCGTGGGATGTCATTCGGCCTCTACATTTCTGTGGTTCTCTCGGCGACGCGACAGAAGGAGGCTCTGTCGCGACTCCGGTTTAGCCGACAGATCTGGGATGTCTCTCTTGAGCTCGGTGGTTTTCTTGTGGATGCTTCACAATTTCCAAAGCACTGAGGATGTTACCTAGTTGGGTCGTGAAACGTCTGCAAGGGAACTACCAAGCTCAGAGAGCACAAAGGACCCCCACGGTTCAATCTTCTACGGAGCAGGGATGGGGCGACTAGGGTTGCTTCGTACCGTGTTTCCCTGAAAACAAGACCTTTATATTATGTCTCATATTATTTTGTTGCTCCAAAAGATGCATCGGGGTTTATTTCCTGGTTAGGCCTTATTTTGGGGGAAATATGGTAGTAATTGCGTCCATCTGGCGGATGAGCTTAACTGGGGCTTATTTTTGGAGTAGGGCTTATATTACGAGCATCCTGAAAAAACCGTGCTAGGTTTTATTTTCCAGCTGGGCCTTATTTTCGGGGGAAACAGGGGAGTCTGTGGATTTCAACCCCCAGAATTCTGGGAATTGAAGTCTGCAGGTCGTTCAAAAGGTCGAAGTTGCTCAGCCTTGCTCCGGAGGAAGCGCTGGAAACCAGTTTGAATGAAGGGCGTCCCCCCCCCCCAGTTGGAGTGTGCAACTGGGAAGATGAGACCCCCCTCCTGAACTCCCCACCAGTGCCCCAGTTGGGGCGCAGCCCCCTTGACTCACCGTGGCCGGAGAGGAGCGGGAGGCGTGCGACAAAGTGTGCCGGGCGTTCTCCATCCCGCCGTGGATGAGGTAGGTGCCGGAGCTGGTGACGATCTGGCTGGTGCCCGCACTGTCCAGGGCCAGGCCCACCATGCCGTGGGAGGGGATGGCGGTGGGGGAGGAAGCCCCCGGGCTCACCTGAGCGCTGCCCCCTTGAGACTCAAAGTAGGCCGTGGCGCTGCCTGGAGCATAAATCTGGGCCTCAGTGTTGTAAGTATAGGTAGCGCGCCTGTTGAGAAGGAAAGGAGAGAAAGGGAGGGAGGAATGGGGCTCCCTTAGCCTGTGGAATTGATGGACACTTGAATCAAGGCTGCTGAAATCCCAAGAGTGGGGAAATAGAGAGAGAGAGACAGAGACAGAGACGGTGAGAATGAAGGAAGAGAGAGAGGGAGAGAATGAAAGAGAGAGACTGAGAAATAAGAAATGAGAGAGGAAGGGAGAGAGTCAGAGAGACAAAAAGAATGAGAGAGAGAGAGGAAGGAAGAGACAGAGGGAGATAGACAGTGAGAATGAGAGGAAGAGGGAGAGGGAGACAGAGAGAATGAAAGAGAGGAAGGGAGAAGGAGAGAGAAAATGAGAAAGGAGAGAGAGACAGAGAGACTGAGAGTGAGACGGAATGAGAGAGGAAGGGAGAGGGAGAGAGTCAGAGAGACAAAAAGAATGAGAGAGAGAGAGGAAGGAAGAGACAGAGGGAGAAAGACAGTGAGAATAGAGGAAGAGAGAGAGGGAGAGGGAGAGAGAGAATGAAAGAGAGGAAGGGAGAAGGGGAGAGAGAATGAGAGATAAAGGAGAGAAAGAAAGACTGAGAGTGAGACAGGGAATGAGAGAGGAAGGGAGAGGGAGAGGGAGAGAGACAAAGAGAATGAGAGAGAGAGAGAGAGAGAGAGGGAACCTACAGAGTCCCGTTGGCGTAGACGGCCTCCCCTCCCTCGATATACTGGACCTCCGCTGGGTACACGTGTTGCACCGTTTGCACCTGGAGGAGAGAGGAGATTTTTTCAAGGGGGTGGGGGGTGGGTGGGGAGGAGAGCTAAAAGCCCCTCTCGGAGGCTCTGAGGAAGAATCTGGAGTTTTCCACCCCTCACAAAACCTCCAAAAGAAATCCCCAGAAACTGAGGTCGATTGGTGGGGAGGGAGGGAGGGGGGGAGAGATTCTCAGTTTGCAAAGGAGAAAAGACCCTCACCCCTTTCAGGGCCTTTGAGTGGCTGGAGGGGGGGGGGTTTGGTGTCCATGGGGTGAGGTCAAAAGAAAAGCAAGAGGG